CAAAAAAAAAAAAAAAAAAAAAAAAAAAAAAAAGAAAAAGAAAACAGTTTAGCTATTCTAGGTACTTTGCATTTCCATACAATTTTAGGATCAGCTTATTAATTTCTACAAAACATGTGCTGTGATTTGCATAGGTACATACCACAAGGAATTTGTATATCAATTTTAAGATAACTGCCACCTTGACAATATTAAACACCAGAATCAAAGGATATGAAAGGACTATCCATTTACCCAGATTTTCTTTCTTTCCTTTTTTCTTTTTTTTGAGATAGGGTCTCACTCTGTTGCCCAGGTGAGAGAGTGCAGTGGCACCACCTGAGCTCACTATAACCTCTGTCTCTTGGGTTCAAATGATCCTCCCACCTCAGCCTCCTGAGTAGTTAGGACCACAGATGCATACCACTACACCCAGCTACTTTTTTTATTTTTTATTTTTTTGTAGAGACAGGGTCCCCCTATGTTTCCCAGGCTGGTTTTAAACCAGCCTGGGAAACAAAGGGGCTCAAGTGATCCTCTGAGCTTGGCCTCCCAAAGTGTTAGACTACAGGTGTGTGCTACCACACCTGGCTGAGATTTTCTTGGATTTCTCTCAATAATGTTTGTAGGTTCAATGTGCAAGTCTTGCATTTCTTTTTAACAAGTTTTTGTTCTTAGACTATTGACAATGAACTCTTCTTAATTTCATGGAATATTTTTGGGCCATTCATGGCTAGCATACAGAAATACAACTGTCTTTTTTGGCTGGGCTCAGTGGCTCACACCTGTAATCCCAGCACTTTGGGAGGCTGAGGCAGGAAAGTCACTTGAGGTCAGGAGTTCGAGACCAGCCTGGCCAACATGGTGAAACCCCATCTCTACTAAAAATACAAAAATTGGTCAGGCATGGTGGTACGCGCCTATAATCCCAGTTACTTGGGAGGCTGAGACAGGAGAATCACTTGAATCCAGGAGGCAGAGGTTGCAGTGAGCTGAGATCATGCCACTGCACTCTAGCCTGGGCAACAGAGCAAGACTCTGTCTCCAAAATAAATAAATAAATAAATAAATACAACTGGATTTTATATAACAACTTAGTATTCTACATCCTTTCTAGACCTGTGTATTAGATCTAGTAGCTTTTTAATAAATTCTATCTGATTTTCTACATACACAATCTGTGAATAATGAGTTTTACTTCTGCCTTTCCAAACCGGACACCTTTTATTTCTTTTCTTCCCTTTTTACAATGGCTAAAATCACAAGAAAAATGTTGAGTAAGCACAATGTTGAATAGAAGTAGTAAGAGCGGACATCCTTGGCTTGTTACTGATCTTAGGGAGAAAGCAGTTAGTCTTTCATCATCAAATATGATGTTAACTGTAGATTTTTCACAGATGATATTTATCAGGCTGAGGATGTTTCCTAATGTGTTGAAAGCTTTTTTTTTTTTTTTTTTAAATCATGACAGATACTGAGATTTTGTCAAATGCTTTTTCTTCACCTACTGAAAATGGTTAGTTGCCTTTTTCATTCATTTTACTGATTTTCAGATGTAAAAAAACCCCATATATCCCATTCCTGGAGTAATGAATCTAATCCATTTTATATGTTACTAGATTTTATTTGCTATACATTTAAAAAAAATTTTTATGCCTACATTCATAAGGGCTGTTGGTATATAGTTTTCATGGATATCTTTGTTTGGCTTTGATATGAAGGTAAAAACTGGCTCCACTGAATAAGTTCAGAAATGTTCTTGATTTTCTGAAAGTTTGTGAAGGATCAGAATTATTTTTTCTTTAAATATTTGATAGACTGCACCAGTAAATTTCATAGGAAGATATTTAATCCCCAATTCAATTTCTTACTTATTATAGGTCTACTCAGATTTGCTTTTTATTGAGTCAGTTTTGACAACCTGTATGTTTTAGGATATATTTTTGTTCATTTCATCTAAGGTGTCTAATTTGTCAGTGTACAGAAAAAAGTAAACATAGCAGGTTTGAACTACTATCCTTCAAAGGGCCTGCTTACAATGTTGGCCCTTGGGTGACATCTGGGAAAACGGATTTGGGGAGGATTACATTACCATAAGAGTGACTCACTGTGAGTATGACTATGTGTTGAGTCCTCCTGGTGAATCACTGAACCTGTGGATGGTCATGGGGGCCCCAGGCATAGTTACCATAAAGTTGTTCACAATATTCCTTTATAATCCTTTAAGTTTCTGTAGAGTTAGTAGTGATGTCCTTTTTTAGTTGTGATTTTGGTAAACTGTCTTCTTTTTTTATTGTCGGTCATTCTATCTAAAGGTTCATCAATTTTATTGATAGTTCCAAGGAACCAACTTTTGGGTTTCATTGACTTTATAACTTTTCTGTCTCATTTATTTCTCCTCTAATCATTATAACTCCTTTGTTCTACTGGTTTGGAGTTTGTTTGTTCCTCTTTTTATAGTTTTTGAAGGCAAAACTTAGTTTATTGATTCTAGAACTTTGTTTATTAACCTAGATATTTAAAGCTATTAATTTTCATCTCAGTACTGCTTTCCTAGCATCCCAAAAATTCTGATGTGTTTTCATTTTCATTTGGTTCAAAATGTTTTCACATTTTCCTTTTGATTTTTTATTGGACCCATGTGTTATTTTAGACATGTGTTGCTTAATTTCAAATACTTGGGAATTTCCCAGATTTTCTTCTTTAGTTGTGGTTGAAGAATATACTTTGTACAATTTCAATCTTTTAAAATATATTCAGACTTGTTTTATAGCCAACCATATGGTCTATCCTGGAGAATGTTCCATGTGTGCTTGAAATGAACGTGTGCTCCAGTCAGTATGTAGAATGTGCTACATACATTGGCTAGGTCAAGTTGGTTAATGGTGTTGGTCAAGTTTTCTATATGCTTGCTAATTTTCTATCTGGCTATTCTATCAATTACTAAGAGTAGAGTGCTAAAAATCTCCAACTCTAATGGTTGAAATGTCTGTTTCTCCTTCCCATTCTGTCAGTTTTTGCTTTGTATATCTTTGAATCTGATATTATGTTGGTGTATCTGATGCTGTCCCACAATGATCTGAGGCTCTGTTCATTTTCCTTCAATTGATTCTTCCCTATACTATTTTTTATCTGCCGTTGAAGTCCTCTAGTGAATTTTTCATTTCCAAAATTATACTCTCCAATTTCAGAATGTCTATGTGTCTCTTTTAAATAATTTTTATGTTCTTTACTGAGAATCTCTATTTGTTGACTCACTGCTACCACTCATTATTGTCATACTTTAATTTTTTAAATAGTTTCCTTTAGTCTTTGAACATATTTATATTCATTGCTTTGAAGTTTTTCTCTGCTAAATCCATTATCTAGAGACATTCACGGAAAGTTTCTATAGACTTTTGTTTTCCTGAATGAGTCACACATCTCTATATTTTGCATGTCTTACAATCTGTTGAAAAGTGAACATTTTAGACAACATATTGTAGCAACTCTGGATTCGGATATTTTCCCCCTTAAAGTTGGTGGTGTTGCCTTTTCTGCTTGTTCACTTTTATTTAGTAACAGACTGGGTTAAACACATGAAATCTATTTTCACTGTGGCATGCAACCAGAATGTCTCCACTTAATTTGTTACTGTTCTATGTTCTTTTCCCCACTTCTTTTTAGTAAGACTGGTTTCCTAGGAACTGCCCAGTCACTGGCTTTCCTCTCCTAGCCTGCCTCTGTGAAGACAATGACACTGGATACTGTGTCAGTCACCACTGCAAACAGAAACAGCTCTTTCCATCACACAGAGCAAACTGCCAGTCCTTGCAGCCTGTTCCACACTGGCAGGAACTCCACGCAGCATAGCTTGGGGAGTTTGGGAAGCAGCACCCTGCTAAACCACAAATTTCCATTGTTCTTACCTGAACTCTGGCAGTTTTTCAAAGCATAAATGTGTCTCAGATTACTGTCCCTTCACAGACATCCAGAACACTGAAATGGCTGTTTTGTCAATTTTGTCCAGTTTTATAGTTGCTTTTTTGGAAAAGGATTCGCTGATCTCTTCACTTGGTCTTAACCAGAAGTGCTACCCCTACTGCTCTATTATATTTAAGCTTGCTTTATAAATATTTCACAAAGTTTTTCTCTAATGATTATTTTGAAGTATTTCAAATAAGCAAAATTAGAGAGAATATAATAAACATGTCTGCCCACACACTCAGCTTAAGAAATGAAACATTATAGATATGTTTACTTCTCTCTGATCCTATTTCCTTTCTTCCCTCTCCAGAGAGAACCATTATCCTAAATTTTCTTAATCTTATGTATGTTTTTCTTCGTTTATACCTATATACAGGCTCTTAAATTACTTAATTAAAATGACATTTTAATTTTATTCAAATTATATCTAACTATAAATATTCTTCTATAACTTACTGTGTCTGGGAGACTTACTCATGTAAATACATGTAGCTTTAATGTATTGACAGTTAACTGCTGCATAAACATGCCATAATTAATCCAGTCTTCTATGACTGACACATGTGTTTTCAATAATCTGTTGTTACAATGCTGTAATGAATACTCTCATACATGTCATCCACGCACATGTGCAAGAGTAACAAGGGTGTAAAGAAGGAAAGACAGAGAGGCTATCAGTGCTTGTGTAAGTACATGAAATCTGTCCACCGGCTCCCCCATGGTTGGAGGTGAAATGTGGGAGAAGGGCAAACAGTGGTTGTGCTCTACCATAGGGATTCATGGCCTTCCACAGAGTCTAGATTTAGAGTCATAGGATGCCTTACAGGAGGCTTCTATACTCCAACCCTGACATAGGAGGCAACTTGGCCTATGTCACAGAGCATGTCAGTGGAAAATCTGGGACTAAAACCTAGGTTTCCTTTCTTTACTGTCTTCTTTCTCCAAGAAAGATCTGTAGACCAGCAACATTAGTGACACCTAGAAACTTGTTAATAATAAAGACTCTTGGGCCATATTTCAGACTTACTGAATCAGAATTTGCATTTTAGCAAGATTCAGAGATGCACGTTAAAGTTTTAAAGTTTGAAAAATACTCTGGAGTATGTATCTAGGAGCAAAATTACTTGATCACAGTGTGCAGTCTTTAATTACACCAGACAATGCCAAATTTTTCTAAGTATTGTACCAATTTACCCAATTTACTTTACCACATTATTCTGTCTATGAATCTAATCACAACATAAAGCCATTTCCCATTGCTCTTATGTACACCTCCACTGTTTGCCTTACAAAGCTTCCATTTCCTAAGAATATATCCTCAAACTATACCTCTGCATTTCTTTAATTTGTGCTGTTAAACACTAATCTGTGATAAAAAGTTACATGGTCAAATAGGTTTGGAGAACACTAGATTAATCAAAATAAAACAGGTTTTTTTGTTTGTTTTTTGGAGACAGGTTCTAACTCTGTTGCCCAGGATGTAGTGCAGTGGTGCAATCACAGCTCACTGTAGTCTCAACTTCCCCCCAGGTTCAGGCAATCCTCCCACCTAAGCCTCCCAAGTAGCTAGGACTACAGGCATGCATCATCACACCCAGCTAATTTTTCTATTTTTTGTAGAGAAGGGGTCTCCCTATGTTGCCCAGGCTGGTCTTAAACTCCTGGGCTCAACCAGTACAACTACATTAGCTTCCCCAGGCTTAGGGAGCCATGATCGTACCACTGCAATGCATCCTGGGCAACAGAGTTAGACCCTGTCTCCCACTACAAAAAAAAAAGACGGTACCTGTTTTATTTTGATTAACCAAGTAGTTCCCGAAGTGCTTCCACTATAGGTGTGAGCCACTGTGCCCAGCCCAAACAGGTTCTTAACAGGCTCTTTAAGACTTCTCAGAAACCCAAAAACGTTAATGAGTAGTAGGGGCCTCTAAATGTGGAATACATTTCAAGCATTTTCTGAAACTTACTGTTTCCCCATGAGTCCTCTAGAAACATATCTAAACAAACTAACATTTCAAAGAACACAGATGGGAAATGCTACAATGATACAGGCTTCCCACCGTTTTTAAATACTAGTAATTAAATTTTTTTTTTTAAGATTTCAATTCCCTCTTATAATTCCCATATCTTCTCATACTTTTATTAAAAGACTCTCATTCTAGCTACTTCTCTGTGGTTTCATGTAAGTAAAACAACATTAATAAGACAAAAAATACATTTTTTTCAGTTGGATTTCTCCCTATTAATTTTTCTTCATGTTTTAAGTAAAGAAAAAATCAGCATGGAATGAAGCTACATCAGGCCCAAATTTCTAAATAGTTTTTCTTCCCTCTGGTACAACTGAGGAAAGCAAACCAGCACCTGCTCTGAAACCTAGCAGAAAAACTACCGTCCCCTATTTCCACATAGACGTTCGCTAAATTAAACTGGCCCTTAATTTTCTTTTGGCTTCCTTGAATAAATTAAAAGTTACACGACTCCAATGATCTCTGGATAGTGAAAAATCACACATTCTATTTTATTCTTTGTGCTTTTCTTTAGTTTCAGTTTTTCTACACTAAGCATGTGTTACTTTTGCAATTGGAAAAACTATACCTTTTTTTTTTTTGGAGACAAAGTCTTGCTCTGTTGCCCAGGCTGGAGTGCAGTGATGTGATCTTGGCTCACTGCAACCTCCGCCTCCCGGGCTCAAGCAATTCTCCTGCCTCGGCCTCAGTAGCTGGCATTACAGATACCCACCACCGCACCCAGCTAATTTTTGTATTTTTAGTAGAAAGAGGGTTTTACCATGTTGGCCAGGCTGGTCTTCAACTCCTGACCTCAAGTGATCTGTCCCCCTTGGCATCCCAAAGTATATCTTACTTCTAAAAGGCTTAGGTTTGAAAGAAAGAAAGTCAGAGAACATTAAAGTTTAATCCATCTGCACTATTCTATCAAGATGTGCAGAGAAGTACCAATGACTCTCAATTAAGGTGGGCAAGTCTTTGCAAGAAACTTGCTAAAAATAATAATATAAAAATTACATGATGAAAAGTTAGTTCTTTAAGTCAAACTCTAAAATTCTCCTGAATGCAAACTAAATTTCATCTAATTTCAACGTAAAGAGACAGAGTGGTGAAACTAACAGAACATCAACAAAACTGGGGTGTGAGCCCTCTTCTGCTGGCCCTTAATTGTTTCAGGCCCCCTCCTGGTCTATAAGATGGGAGAGAGCCTACAACACACACAATTATTGTAAAGACTGTCTATAAAGATACATAAAAAGCTCATAGCACAGCGCCTGACATTTATATAGTAAGTGCTCAATAAACTGCAACTACTGCTATTAAAACAATTAGAACTATCCTAAGTGCTTCCACAAGAAATAAAGAAGCATTGTTACTACTGTAATTGTATTAATTACTAAGTTAGTTTCAATATTTAACCTGATAAAATAAACAGAATCCTTCCCAGAGAGGTAATCCTTGAGAATCCATGACATAACCTGGGTGAATTCTTCCAAATTAAATACATTATTTGTCAAACCTATTAAGCAAAATGTAGAAATGCAAAACAACTAAGGATTTAATCACAGCCCGTTATTTAATATGTCCAAGTTTTACACACTGCTATCATCATTACTTATGAAAAAGAAGAAATTCAACGATGGGAAGAAAACATGCATCTCAACAAACAGATGGCAATACTAACAGGGTTATGCTGAAAATTACATGGCTTCAGCAGAGAGAGAATGCTTACCTATAAAGCAATGATTTCTAAGAAGAAAAACAAAATCTACAACCCCCTTGTTTTGTTTACCTGGATGAGTCATGGTAACTGGCTCCTCTTTGGATTTATTATTGTAGATGACCACAGCAACTGCATTGTGGAAAGCAGCCCGTGATATTTTCTCTTTAAATGTGCAGTTTCCCCTCTGCAGCAAGGCAATCCACTGTTTGATATTAGGAGGGACAAAGAACCGTGTTTGTGGATCACAGCCCAGATGATCAGCAACTGAAAAGAAAAATAAATACACACATTAAAGATAAATAGAACTGACCAAGTCTTTATCCAAGTGTCAAATGCTTTCTGAATACCACACAGAGCTAAAGCCTGTCAAGCAGCTCGCTGCCAGGAGTGCTATGAATAAATCCACAAACAACAGTACAATGAGTCTGTATCAGTATCCATAGGGAGGGATGCTCCATTGAACTGTTACCTCTAATGCAAATTAAAACAATGAAAATTTCCTAACTTTGCAGATTGACAAAAAAATTAAAAAAGACTGATAATATCTAGTACAAGGCGGTCAAGAGAGGAAGAAGAAAAGGCAATGTTAGTTCTCTTCTGTGTTAGAAGAGAACCCCAGAAACCCAGGTGGCTGATCTAACCCTGACTTTTGCTCGTTCATGTACTTGTCTTAGCCTCTCCACACATACCCCACCACCATTACCCGGCCCAGTGAGAAAACAGGAGACTTAACTGGGGCCCAATGAGAAGCCAAAGTAATCCTTGATTTAGTTACTAAGTGATCCTGTTGAAATTCAAGCATGTTTGAGCAAATTTCTTCATAAATGTCTAAGTTTGGTTTTGGCTTATATTTGAAAGTTGAAGTAGTTAAAATAACATCTAAGTAGAATAAATGTATTATTCCTCCAATTTATATTAGCAAAAATCACTCCACAACTCTACGTCAAGATACACTTACTGTATCTATCTAACAGGTTACAAGAAGACACTAAGAATGTTAGTACTACAAACTACATGGCCATTGTTCTAGATTTTTTGGGATAGTTTATTTAAAATACTCATAAGTACATTTAAATCTGTCAGAGTTAAGCTCTTCAATTTTTTACTCTGCACATATGGCCATCATGGTTCTGGCATTCTCTGCAAATCTTAAGAAGCCCCCGACTGCTCTTCCCACTCCCATTTTCACATTTATAACAGGTTCGGATGAGAGAGAAGGGCAGTCTAGAAGGGGAAACAAGTTACTAAGGTAGAGTCTGAAGACTGCTGGCACACAGTGGCAGAGGGTGCCAGCCCTGTGCCCTGAGTCAGCCCTGCCAGTCCTGTGTGCCAGGGAGGAAGCAAGAAAAGGGAACACAGTACATGGATCCAAGAGGGTGATGCCAAAGTAAATAAATCATAAAAACAAGGCGAGGTGTGGTGGCTCACACCCGTTAATCCCAACAGTTTGGGCGGCCAAGGTAGGTGGATTGCTTGAGCCTGGGAGTTTGAGACAAGCCTAGGTAACGCAGAGAAACAAAAAATACAAAAAATTAGCTGGGTGTGGTGGAGTGCATCTGTATTCCCAGCTACTGGGGAGGCTGAGGTGGGAGGATTGCTTGAGCCATGAGCGCACCACTGAACTCCAGCCTGCCTGACAGAACAAGACCCTGTCTCAAAAAAAAAAAATTAAAAAATTAAGTATTAATCAAGTATAATTGTAGTAAAGAGATGACACCAGCGGGAAAATGTGAGATTTCCACACACCTGGAAGCACATGCTTAGCAAAGGAAACTAAATGCTTACACTACTTAAACTGTAAAATGTAAAGATGTCACTAATTTCAGAGAAATATTACATCTATCATCCCCACATAAATATCTTTCTCCAAATTTTTTTATAATTATTATGGTGAGAGACTGCAACAAGAGTATATTTGCTACCAGAGGTCTCCTAATAAATGAAGTGGAAGATGAATGTTTTCACGGTCTTTCATGGTTGATATTGTTCTTTCATGATTGACATTGTAATATAACCATCACCTACCCTTTTCCTTAAAAGGTTTCTTCCCTCTGAAACTTTAACCCTTCCTCAATCAAATTAAACAGGGGGATAGAAACCTATGCCATGATTTTAGGAGTCAACTATTGAAAGACACATTCGATGTATTATAAAACTTTAAAATCCTGAAACAGATTGTTTACTTTCCGCACTATCTGTTTCACTGATAATTATGCTGTTTAAAATAAAAGCAGTTTAGCAATCCGTTACAATAATCTCCTGTCTTACCAAAATGTCTAATACTGTATCCAAACAGGGAATAACCAAAGAACTGGTTTTAGATGTTTTGTTTGTTGTTTTTCAAAACATACTGCTGCACAAACCCTGGAAGAAAATGCAAAATCAAGAATATCTAAAAACATGTACACACTTGCCTTCTGTGCAACATTTAAGCATTTGTCTGTGACTTACCTCTTTCTCCCTGGGGTCTCACATACATGTAGAATGTAGTAAAGAGGAAACACCATAGCTATGGAATCAGCAAGACCTGTGCTCCAAGTTCTAGATCAACTGAGATCAACTGCTTACTAGCTGTGTAACTGTCACAGGTTACTGAAATTCTCCCATCTTTAATTTTTACTTATTTATAAAGATTGAGATGTTCTGTTCTTTTTTTTTTTTTTTTTATGGTGAAAAGATATACATATATTTAGAATTAGCCAGCTGGACTCAGTTTAGATGATCCCAATTTTGTTGGCAACATCCAAAGCATCGTAATCAGGAGCCAGTCGAACATATGCCTTCTTCTCTCCATCAGGCCGAATCAGGGTGTTGACCTTGGCTACATCAATGTCATAGAGCTTCTTCACAGCCTGTTTGATCTGGTGCTTGTTGGCTTTAACATCCACAATGAACACAAGTGTGTTGTTGCCTTCTATCCTCTTCATGGCAGACTCAGTGGTCAGCGGAAACTTGATGATAGCATAGTGGTCCAGTTTGTTTCTCCTAGAGGTGCTCTTCCGAGGATATTTGGGCTGCCTCCGGAGTCGCAGTGTCTTGGGCCGCCGGAAGGTGGGTGACGTGCGGATCTTCTTTTTTTTTGTGGCTGTGGACACCTTTCAACACTGCCTTCTTGGCCTTTAAAGCCTTCGCTTTGGCTTCGGCTTTAGGAGGGGCAGGAGCTTCCTTCTTCGCTTTCGGCGCCATCTTGTGAAAAATGAGATGTTCTTATCTCATAGAGTTTTACATGTGAAAAAGTAATTCATTCTGGTCAGGCATGGTGGCTCACACCTGTAATCCCAACACTTTGGAGGCCAAGGTGGGAAGATCACTCAAAGCCAGGAGTTCAACACTAGCATGGGCACATAGCAGGACCCTCATCTCTACACAAACAAAAAATTAAAAAATTAGCCAGGCATGATGGCACACACCTGTAGACCCAGCTACTGAGGAGGCTGAGATGGGAGGATGGCTTGAGCCCTGGAATTCAAGGTTACAGTGAGCTATGATTGTTCTACTGCACTCCAGCTTGGGTGACAGAGCAATACTCTATCTCTAAAAAATAATAATTCCTTCATTCTTGAATGCTTAAAAAACAAAAAAAAAACCTCTTTCCTTTTGTTTCACTAACATTCATCCTATGCTGTCTTGGTGATCCAGTTTGGTGCCTTTGGGAGTTTCTGTGCCAAAATATGTGAGCTTCCCCAAGCTCAGCAGCACCCCACAACCCACGGCTTTTAGTAACCACCACTCACAGATCCCACGCCTCATCCTCTTTATCTCTTTCCTTTTGACAGTGTCACAGTCCGCTCAGAAGACAGCAGTTCAGTAATACTCACAAAAAGGAATAAAAAGACACAGCATGGGGTGCAATCACGGAGCAAAATTTATCAAACGTACTGCAGGGGGGCTTTAAAAAACTCTCCTAAAGGAATCTCTACCCACTGAGAACAGATTCTATGAACAACTGCATGATCAAAACAAAATCCAACAACAGCCTATATAAGCAAAAGAACATTCCTGTTTCCCAAAATTCATCTAATCATCATCCATAAAAGGTCTCAGAAAACATTTATATTGGTAATACAATACACAATAAGCAAGAATAAGTAGAAATTTTCTGTTTAAAAAAATGGTATTTATTATCCAGAAGAAAAGAAGAGATTTTCATAATCAGGAACTGAATACTGTAGTATACTCATTTTACCTAGTTATTCCCTCCTGTAATTAAGAAAATATGAATAATTAAAACAACAGCTCTATACAAACTTTCCAAGAAGACTGATGATTATGGTTAAGTAGTATTACTTCAAAATTTAATACCAGTTGTTTACACTTGAGCAATTTATTAATAAAGTGAAGACATATTATGGCGTAAAATGTCTATGTAATTATGAGCCTTTAAAATTTGTCAATAGCAATTCTGCTCAAATTCAGAATAAATGTACTTCTGATTTTCTTACCTGCCAAATTTTATAAGAGGGTACTACCTCTCAATTATTTGCATTTATTAGTTATACAGCCGGGAAAAACTTATTAGAGGTTTTGATAAAAATTTCAAGACAGATAATACAAAATATTCTACTATAGAACTTAATTTTTTTTCCTACAGGGCTTTTCCTGCTGAGTCCTAAAATATTAAAAGTAATGAGACTTATTCACCTCTTGACAGGAACCAAATAATTATGGGATCCTCATCTCAATGAACAGTAACTAAGTGCATAACAACATGCTAAGTACCAAAGAGAGAAACAATGGAGGAAATGCCTTGCTCTTCACTCTTAAAGAGCCTCCACATTTACTGAGGCATCATAATTGGCAACAGCACAGAAGCCGATGTTAGAGGGTGCCAACGCAAAGTGCGCTTAGAGACTGAAGGAGGGAGGAGGGCAGGACGATGATCAAGGTTCAGTGTGAGCTGGAGCATACATGAAACCCCTGAAACTTGCCCAGGCAGGAAGGAGGTGGGTACATAAGTTGCCAGCATAAAAACAGAACAAAGACTTAAACTCTTCTCTTGAACTCTTGCAAAAAAAGTAAGACGATATGCAACAGAACCTTCAACATTATACAAATTTAAGAAGATCAAGTTCGGAAAAGATCTCATCTGTAATGAGAGAAGGGGAAGAATATTCACGTAGGAATAATATGTATTTAAAGAGCTGTATGAATGAAATCTCTCTTCCACACCCCACCAGTCGGAAACTCCTCCACTTTGATTCATTTGATTTGGTAAAACCTCATTTCTTAGAAATGTAAACCCGTCACATAAGAAGCACTCACCATGTTATGGTATAGGCTAATGGTTTCCTTCCTATACCGGAGAATTATCAGTCTACTGCAGGTTGTAACTCTTTTAAGGCTGGGGCAGAAGTGAGAGCCTTAGGGAAGTCTTTTTCTGCAGTGATGGTCAAAACAGGTAGCCACATAGCACAGCTGCAAAGATGTGCCTCTCTCTCTCAGAGCCTGTGTGTGTCACTATATCCTCCTGAAATGTCAGTCTCACCATCTTCTGAGCCTCAGGATTCTGCCAAAATTTCTTCCCCAGAATGCCTTCCCAGCCTCCTAAGACTGAGTTGGTGCTTTTTTTGAAGTTGCCATGGTACCCTCAGGTTACATCCATCTCGGTATTTATCATACTGTATCAGTAACTGGCTGTTTACTTCTAAGGTTTTCCTTTTGGAATGTGAGGTCTAGCATCTCCTGTGAATATGTCTGGCACATAGTAGATGTTTAACATACTCAATGAAGGAAAGGGGGGAAAATGACAGAAAAATTAAGCCAAAAGTGACATTAAAAAAAGTTTGTGGCAAACAACTCTCTGTTTCATGTGGTAATATCCTGACTATGGTAACGTTCTATCTGTTCTTCCTACAAAAGAGGTAAAAATAAAAATGAGACTAATTAGTTATCACAGATTTAGATTCCTCCATTGTCAGCTACGGTCTAGCTGCTTTCCTATTCCTAAATTAGATTATAATCTCTTTATTCCTTAATTTTCCTACTTCAATACTAGCTTTCCTTATTTTCCTTTTGTTAAATTCTAATTTTATGATTCAAAGAAAAATATAATTCATAATTTCTGTTATCAATTTCTTAATTTTATTTTTAATGGCAGCTACTGGACTTGGGTAGAGCTTTCATTCTGTTTATCCACTATCATGAATATAACTTATCTTACTGTTTCTACACTTTCACTTAAAGCTAACATTTCTTTTTATTTCTTTTTATTACTTAGCTTCATGGAGCTAAGTCTTACTGAAAATGTTTTTTCCTGGCTGGGCGCAGCAGCTCACACCTGTAATTACAGCACTTTGGGAGGCCGAGGCAGGTGGATCACCTGAGGTGGGGAGTTTGAGCCCAGCCTGACCAACATGCAGAAAGCCCGTCCGTCTCTATTAAAAACACAAAATTAGCTGGGTGTGGTGATGCATGCCTGTAATCCCAGCTACTCAGGAGGCTGAAGCAGGAGAATCGCTTGAACCTGAGAGGCAGAGGTTGCAGCGAGCAGAGATCGTGCCATTGCACTCCAGCCTAGGCAACAACAGTAGCGAAACTCTGTCTCAAAAAAAAAAGAAAGAAAATGTTTTCTTCTTCCTTTTCTCTTGATTTTCTGTTACCTTATTTGTAAGTCTCTATTTTCTCTTAACCTTGCATTTACATACTTTATTCCTAATTTTTTCTTATCCTTTCCCTTCCCCTCCCCTTCCCTGTCTACTTCTGGGTCCTGCCTATTCTACTTCTGGATCCCTCCATTTTTTTTTTTTTTTTAAAGACAGGATCTTGCTCTGTTGCCAGCCATCCTCCCACCTCAGCCTCTTGAGCAGTTGGAACTACAGGCGTATGTCACCAAGCCTGGCCAATTTTTGTATTTTTTGTAGAGACAGGGTCTCAGCATGTTGCCCAGGTTAGTCTCAAACTCCTGGCTTCAAGTGATCCTCCTGCCTCAGCTTCCAAAGTGCTAGGACTACAACAAGCATGAGTGAGCCACTGCAACCAGCTCTATTTCTTCCTGGGAACCGTATGTTAACAACCATTCCCTCTTTTTCTCTTCCCTCTCATTTAAACTTGATGGTTTCTTCCATCTTAAAAACAAATGAGAAAAAACACATATCTCTACAGACCCCTCTACTGCCATTCTTTTCAAGAGCCATCTGCACCTGCTATTCCCATGTCCTCAGTGTCTACTCATTCCTCAGCACATTTTAATTTTCATTCTTCTGCATCCAACCACTCCACTAGAACTGCTCTGACTAAAAGAGACCAATAAGCTCACGCTGCTAAATCCCAGGCCACAGATGCTAAATCCCATGCTCCTGACTGTAATCTAAGCACTTTGGGAGGCCAAGGTGGGGCAGATCACCTGAGGTCAGGAGTTTGAGACCAGCCTGGCCAACATGGTGAAACCACATCTCAATTAAAATTACAAAATTTAGCCAGGCATGGAGGTGTGGGCCTGTAATCCCAGGTACTCAGGAGGCTGAGGCAAGAGAATTGCTTGAACCTGAGAGGCAGAGGCTGTAGTGAGCTGAGACTGCACCACTGCACTCCAGCCTGGGTAACAAAGTGAGACTCTGTCTCAATAAATAAATAAATAAAATAAAATAAAATAAATCCCAGGACCATTTTGTCCTCTAAACTGCCTGCCCCAGCTGAGCACTCTCCTCTCTCCACTCCCAGGTTCAAATTCCTCCAGGCTTTCCTCCTCCACCACCACAGTTATCCTTTGAGTCTTTACTGCCTCCTCTTCTTCCACTTGAACCTTCAATGTGACGCTCCTGAGTACTCTGCATCTCCTGGCATGGGCCCAGGACACTTCAGTGCTTTAATTTTCACCATGTGGGCCCAGGAGTCTCCAGGGCTAATCTTCACCATGTCAACGGCACACTTTTTAAAAATTGGAACAATGATGCTTACTAATATCTCATGCTGAGCAGCCCTTTTTTGAGAAATTATTTTTCATCACTTCTCGGCCTTTTGGCTAAGATCAAATGGAGAAATTATTTTTCATTTTTACTTATATGAACCCAGTTTCTAATAGACACAGCTAAATCAGGTTTACAGCATGCTAAGAATTGGGAGAGGAAAGTGGAAAACTACACACACACAAGGGAATTCATTCCCTTCCATTCCAAGCAAAAACTCTGCCCTTGACTTGATGAGTTAACAGGAGTTCTTGAAGGTTTCAGGTGGTTTACATGGAAGGGGACATGGAAAGCAGTCTGTAGTCCAGTTTATGGCAAATCACCCTCTAATTTACCTGTTTCCAGATTGCTCTGCCTTGCTTCTAGGCTATAGGACTGTATTACCTCAAAGGCTAGAGGATTAACCTCCGAATCTCAGCAATTTCTGTTTGACTCATATAGGAGAAGTCAGTGTTCCACGTAATAAAATCCATGACTTAGATTGATTAAAAATAATGAGGCCAAGTGCAGTGGCTCATGCCTGCAATCCCAGCACTTTGGGAGGCTGAGGTGGGGGGACCACTTGAGCCCAGAAGTTCAAAGCTGCAGTGAGCTGTGATGGCATCCCTGTGCTTCAGCCTAGGAGGCAGAGAGAGATGTTTTTAAAAAAAAAAAAAAAAAAAAAAGGCAGAGAGAGAATTTATCGTGTCTCAGAACTGGAAGTTCTGAGATGGCCATATTTTGGGTTGAAGAATTCAGCACCTCAGTAGTGTCACCAGGATCTGGTTCCTTTTCCTCTTTTCCCTTTGCCAACCACGGCTTCAGCTTCATCCTAAGAGTCCCCTCTTATCATAAGATGACTGCCAGCAGCAACTGGAGTCACACAGCTCCCTGTTCATATCCAGTGGGAAACAGAAAAGGCCAACCCTCCAGGTGTGTAATTTAAGCTCTTCACCTCTGTGCAGCTCACCCTAGATCATCTATCCCTGTGCCCCATACCCCCTGCTGGGGCTCAAACAGGTATCACTTAAAGCATGTGGCTGCATGGGAGTGATCACAGATGCCTGAATTATATAAGGTTTCTGGGTCTTTTTTATTTTTTTTTTAACAAGTGGGGCTGGTAGGCAATTAACAGCTCATTTCAAACCTCAAGGTGACCCTATAGAGTGGCCCTTAAATCATCAGAATTCATACTTGGCAACTCAAACCCACCAAAAAGGCCAAAACCTAAGAAAAAAGCTTCTTGCTCTTTTGGCAAGATGGCGGGAGGAGATGCTAGAGTGACTTTGGGGCAGCCGCATCTTTCGCGCCAGGATCTCACCACCTTGGATGTTACCAAGTTGACGCCACTTTCACACGAAGTTATCAGCAGACAAGCCACAATTAACATAGGTACAATTGGTCATGTAGTTCATGGGAAATCCACAGTTGTCAAAGCTATTTCTGGAGTTCACATGGTCAGGTTCAAAAATGAACTAGTAAGAAATATTACAATCAAGCTTGGATATGCTCATGCTAAGATTTATAAACTTGATGACCCAAGTTGCCCTCGGCCAGAATGTTATAGATCTTGTGGGAGCAGTACACCTGATGAGTTTCCTACAGATATTCCAGGGACCAAAGGGAACTTCAAATTAGTCAGACATGTTTCCTTTGTTGACTGTCCAGGCCATGATATTTTGATGGCTACTATGCTGAATGGTGCAGCGGTGATGGATGCAGCTCTTCTGTTGATAGCTGGTAATGAATCTTGCCCTCAGCCTCAGACATCTAAACACCTAGCTGCTATAGAAATCATGAAACTGAAACATATTTTGATTCTACAAAATAAAATTGATTTGGTAAAAGAAAGTCGGGCTAAAGAACAATACGAGCAGATTCTTGCTTTTGTCCAAGGTACAGTAGCAGAGGGAGCTCCCATTATTCCAATTTTGGCTCAGCTGAAATACAATATTGAAGTTGTTTGTGAGTACATAGTAAAGAAAATTCCAGTACCCCCAAGAGACTTTACTTCAGAGCCCCGCCTTATTGTTATTAGATCTTTTGATGTCAACAAACCTGGCTGTGAAGTTGACCTTAAGGGGGGTGTAGCTGGTGGTAGTATCCTAAAAGGAGTATTAAAGGTGGGCCAGGAGATAGAAGTAAGACCTGGTATTGTTTCCAAGGATAGTGAAGGAAAACTCATGTGTAAACCAATCTTTTCCAAAATTGTATCACTTTTTGCGGAGCATAATGATCTGCAATATGCTGCTCCAGGCAGTCTCATTGGAGTTGGAACAAAAACTGACCCCACTTTGTGCCGGGCTGACAGAATGGTGGGGCAGGTACTTGGTGTAGTCGGAACCTTACCTGAGATATTCACAGAATTGGAAACTTCCTATTTCCTGCTTAGACGGCTTCTAGGTGTACGCACTGAAGGAGACAAGAAAGCAGCAAAGGTACAAGAGCTGTCTAAGAATGAAGTACTCATGGTGAACATAGGGTCCCTCTCTACAGGAGGGAGAGTCAGTGCTGTCAAGGCCGATTTGGGTAAAATTGTTTTGACCAATCCAGTGTGCACAGAGGTAGGAGAAAAAATTGCCCTTAGCCGAAGGGTTGAAAAACACTGGCGTTTAATTGATTGGGATCAGATAAGAAGAGGAGTGACAATCAAGCCAACAGTGGATGACTGATGAACACCAGTTAAATAATACATTTGGATGGAGGTGGAAGATGGAATTTCTCTTAACAACCAAGGAATTTACTTTCAAAGCAATATTGGGGAATTTATTTACAGTTTGTTACCTTAGTAGATAGCTATAAGATTATTCTCATGTTTTTAGTTATGAAGACTTAACTTAGGTACTGAAATTAATATAAAAGTTGGCGTACTGTTGGATTGAATCTATATTTTGACAGAAGCATTGCCATATAATGTCACAATTATATATCATGCAGTTTTGTTCTGCATGTCTTGTTTTGTTTTGTTTTTGAGTCTGGCTTTGCCACCCAGGATGGAGGGCGGTGGCCTGATCTGCAACCTCTGCCTTCTGGGTTCAAGCAGTTCTCCTGCTTCAGCCTTCGAAGTAGCTGAGATTACAGGTGTGTGCCACCACACCTGGTTAATTTTTGTATTTTTAGGAGAGACAGGGTTTTGACATGTTGGCCAGGCTGGTCTCTCCTGACCTCAGGGTGATCACCCCACCTCAACCTCCCAAAGTGCTGGGATTACAGGCGTAAGCCACCTTGCCCCGCCCATATCATACAGTATGAAATGAATTTTTGCTACAACCAGCCTTTGCTGTAGCACACACACACACACACACACATATATATACACCACTGAAACTCATTTTCATGATTCCTCTTTGAATAGCTCCAAGCTGATGGACTGTTGTACCAATGAAAACTTAAAGAGACAGATTCTCCTTGAAGACCTTCTCCCTTTTCTTTGGCCCCATATTTTATATTGCTTTATCTTTGAAATTTTGCATGAAAAGGAAATTAATGGGTTCAAATGAAATTGTTCTTTAGAGATTTTAGAAATTGTTACTATGGACAAATCTTTTTCTTCCCTTGCTCTTCCTGGCCTGAAACACAGGAAACCAGAGTCAGAAGTTATGTTTCTTTCCCTGTGATGGCTTGAAATTTTTTCAGCGTTGTTTTATACCTGAAATCCAATAGTCTTCCTCTGTTGGAAAATACTGTTATACCAAATAATTCTAGATGAGTAACAAAGATCTTTCTAGGCCTTCATTTTATGTTTTTTCTTAACTGTTATATCATGATCATAACACACATTGTAATACTACTAATTTTTGAACATTCCAAAAGGCCAAGAAGTAAAAGATGTTAGAAAGCAATAACTGAGTCAAGATGCCCCACAGAGATTCTGGTTTAATTGTGATTTAATTGGCTTGGAGTAGAATTCAGGCATTTAACAACTCTCCTCAGTGTGGAGAAATTTAGAGAGTTGAGAAGTAGGTATATTAAATTATAGAATCTCTCTGAGTTTTGATAGTCTGATAATACAGTTTGCTTTGCTTTTCTTAAATTTGCATTGAGATGGGATTTGAAACATTGTGCTCTTTTGAGTGTTGAAGTTGCATTGTAGAAGTTGAGAACCTCTGGCTATGGGTTATCTAAGTTGATGTTGTGAGGACGCATATTAATGTTATATACTTGGCTGACTTTGAAGGTTGTGTTGTAGCATGAGGAACACAAACAATTCTACATCAGAAAAAAAAAAAAAGAAAAGAAAAAAGCTTCTTTGCTTTTTGAAAGTGTTTTGACACAGGGAGGCAGCTAAGGTACAGTCCTCTGCCTCTTTCCCACACTCGAGGAAATGTGAGCTATTTGGAAGAGGAGAGGTCCACTTGAAGATCAGCATCTGGAACAAGCGTTCTTGACAAGGCTCTGGGGATAGAATTCAGGGGTGAGTGACATTTGGATGAGGGGAAATCATCTTTACATCTGCTAAAAATCTAACTGAAATTAGCATTTTCTTTATTTATAAACAGATAACAAACCATGTGTAACCAGTGGCAACCACATTACAGTTATGGCAAATACTGCAAAATACTGGTAAAGTGATTAGACCCACCACTGGATCTTGTTACTAATATGTTAACTGCACAAGTATTATCATGTCACAAATATTCTGACTATTTTAAATACTTTGATACGGTGTTTCAGTATACTTGATTTTCTTTAATCCTATTTACTCCTGCACTTAACCACTATTCTGAGAAGCAACCCATAGGTTAAATCAGACTAAAAGGAGTCTCAACTGCCAGGCTTAGTCTATTTGCATGATGAATATGATATATTTGCATTCATCTCTATTATTTTATTGTGTTCTTATTTATATTTTTCTAAGCTTCTTTATACCTTTTTCCCCTCCTTTCTGCCTTTCAATATACTGATCAAATTTATTTCCCTTTTCCTCATCTATATATTCAAGCTCTCCTTAAAACGTTAACATGCATACCGGATAAAAGATCTACATTTAATGCCAGGCGCGGTGGCTCACGCCTGTAATCCCAGCACTTTGGGAGGCCGAGGCGGGTGGATCACGAGGTCAAGAGATCGAGACCATCCTGGTCAACATGGTGAAACCCCGTCTCTACTAAAAATATAAAAAATCAGCTGGGCATGGTGGCGCATGCCTGTAATCCCAGCTACTCAGGAGGCTGAGGCAGGAGAATTGCCTGAACCCAGGAGGCGGAGGTTGCGATGTGCCGAGATCGCGCCATTGCACTCCAGCCTGGGCAACAAGATCGATCTTTCGTCTCAAAAAAAAAAAAAAAAAGATCTACATTTAATCAGTACCTCTATTGTCCCCCTGAATACCTCAAGGCTCTTGAATATTAGTTTCCTAGGGCTGCCAAAACAAAGTACTACAGAAGTAGTAGCTTAAACAACAGAAATGTTCTGAAGGCCAGAAGTCCAAACTCAAGGTGTGGGCAGGGCCATACTCCCTAACTCTATCTAGTTATCTTCATATATAGATATGCACCTATAAAGGGATATATTATAAGGAACTGGCTCAGGCAATTATGGAGGCAGACAAGTCCCAAAGTCTGCAGGGTGAGTCACCAGGCTAGAGACCCAGGAGAGCCGATGGCATTCCAGGCCAAAGACCAGCAGGTTCAGCACCCAGAACAGCCAAGGTTTCAGTCAGTCCTAAGGCAGTCAGGCAAGAGGAATCCTCTCATACTCCAGGAAGGATCACTTTTTTGTTCTATTCAGGCCATCAATGGAGTGGCTAAGGCCCACCCACATTACAGAGAGCAATCTGCTTTATTCAGTCTACCCATTCAAGCTTAAACCTCATTCAAAAATACCCTGAGAGAAACGTGAGAATTCTCTTAGGATACTGTCTGACCAAGTATGTGGGCACCTGTGGCCCAGTCAAGGAGACACATAGAATTCACCATCACAGTCCTCCTCACAGCTCATTTTTTTCCTTCTGTGTTCCATTTCCTTCCTCCTTATTCTACATCCTTCAGAAATTCTTTCAATGAAGATCTGTTAGGTACACTTGTATTTTTACATCTGAAAACATTTCTCTTTTGTTCTCATTCTTGGGTGACAGGTTAATTAAGTTAAAAAGTTCTAGATCGTTAATTTTCTCTCAGCATCTGAGAGCTATTATTCCACTATCTTTTTTTCTTCCTTCTTCTTTTTTTTTAAGATAGGGTTTCTACTCCCCAGGCTGGCGTGCAGTGGCACAATCAGAGCTCACTGCTCAACCTCCTGGGCTCAAGTAATCCTCTTACCTCAGCATCCTGAGTAGCTGGGACTATAGGCATGCATCACCACGCCCGGCTAATTTTTGTATTTATCCCAACACAGGGTCTCACCATGTTGCCCAGGCTGGTCTCAAACTCCTGACCTCAAACAATCTGCCCACCTCGACCTCCGAAAGTGTTGGGATTACAGGCGTGAGCCACCAAACCCAGCCAATTCTAGTACTTTCAAAAAGTAAACTGTGTTTCTTGTTTTTCTCCTAATTGACAATTTTGACATCTTCAGTTATATCCTAAAGAAACAAATTCTTCCAACAAATTATAATCTTTTTGTACAGAATTTTTAAGAAGGTGGCAGCAAAGTATCTTCTGGACACCTAAATGCCGCATGCCGCAGTAAACATGGCAGGAATGTCCCAACAGTGGAACCACCAGCAAGCGCACTCATCAGCAGCCGTCCATCATCATTTGTCTGCTGAACTTAGTTACTGTAAATCTCAAATGGATTTTGATTATTTTTTTACATCCTTTGAACGCAAATATATTTGTTGGAATTTCTCCATGACATAATAAAAAGCATCTTAAGAGTAAGTTTAAATGACGGCTAATACAAATCACTTTGCACGAAAAGTCAATTTCAATAATAATTTCTATCACAACTGATGCAGTAGATACTTCATGCAAGAGAGATGCTACAGATCGAAATAACTGAAAATCAGAGTTCAGTCCTCATAGAAATTTGGTGTCACAATGCAATATAAGCGTTAATTATTTATCCACATCACTTTGTTCCACAAAAGAATTATAGTACTGAGTACAACTCTTCCCAAGGCACTCTGCCCTTTTGACTCCTATCCATCACGTTTTCCTCCCTCTCTATCTATTCTTTCTCATTTTCCACTGCTAGATCCTTGCCAGGGTCTGTCCTAGGCCCCCTTTTTTCAGTGGGCAGTATCATCCATTCCCTGGCTTCAACTACCACCTAAGTGTACATCATAATCTAAATCTAAATCTCTCTTGAGCTTTTCTGTTTAATATTCAACTGCCTGCTAGACATTTCTCCATGAATACTGAGCACTCCAAACTTATTAGCTTCCTCTCACATGTGATCTCTTTCCGGTGTAGAGTTCTGGCTAAAGGCGTCAACTATTGAAACACAAAGGACTAAAATCCCTGTTGGAAACCAAGTGGCCATATAGAGACTCAGCTTCCCATTGCTGCTGCCATACCTAAGGACGCAAGGACACCATCCTGGATCCAGAGTAGCGCCTGAAGGCATTATTAACTCTTGGGAAGAAAAGATTGTAGGAGCAAGCTTGTTTTATTTCATCACTTCTTTCTTCCAGGTCTAGTACTTCCAGTACTAATGACTGACACAATCACAGTCTTGACAAAGAATGGGCTATCTGGACCATAATTTAAAACATAATCACAGGGCAGGAGCCATGCAGCTCACACTAACAGGGAAAAAGCCATCTGTCCAGAAGTTGACTAACCAGCGACCAAAGGACTTTAAGCTAAATTGGTGAGGAGGTAGGGAGGAATGGAACATGAAGGAAATCACAAAATCAGTCCCTATGGAGGATTATAGAAAAAAAAAAAAAAAAGACTGAAAGAGATCACTCACATGAGAAAATGAGAAGAGGTTTAAACTGTTCATAATCGGAGACATCTATAAACCAATAAATATGAGTAATAAGAAAAAAACCCTTAAAGTTTACCTTAAATATAGAAAATAATCAACGGGACTTGTTGAGGCAGGTCTCAAGATTGGCCTACAATGACGGAAAGCATACTATTATTCAAAGGGAAAAAAAGCAGCAGTTATTTCATGTCAAGATAACATATGCCCTTCAAGGAATCCCAAGTAAACAGAAGCACTCAAAAACAACTCTAAGAGGCAGAAAGGTAAATAAGACTTCGATGTGACAGCATGTCGAGATCAGCCAAATGGAGTAAAGATAAAAGTTTTTAACAGATCACAAAACTGGCAGACAGGATAGGGCAGTGACAGGGATTCCAACCACCTACAGAGCTGCAGATGAGATCTCACCCCTGCTTTCCCATTCACTTGGCCTCCCACAGGACAGGGGCCAGGCATAACCTGGTGTACAGCTGCCCTGGGCCCAATGCAGGCCCCAAACAGAAGTGACGAGTCATGTGGAAGAAAGCGACGTATCATTTCAGAGTTTACAAAATCCTGGGCAAACAAAGCTGGGTAACAAATCATTTTGATGAGAAGAAAATGACACATTACATGAAAAAATCAGCAAGAACACACAAGACAAATTAAGCTTTATGGAGGACTCAAACAAATTCTGAAAAGGCAAACACAAGGATGGTACAGACTTATACAACTTTTCTTTAAAAAGCCCACAAAGTTGAAGGTTGCCAGTAATCATGGGATCAAGAAAAGTCACTTCTCACAAAAGTTTGATTTTTTTATTAGAGTACAGTCAGAGCAAGAAGAGTTGGAAAGAAATAGGTCTACTGCCCAGAGCCAACTAAACGATGGATGGAAACATTTCTCAAGACTTTTTTGCTTTTGCTTTCTCTACCATGGAGAATAATCTGAAACAAGTACAGTTACACGACACTGAAAATGAGTGCAGAGACTGTAAAAAAGCAAATACATTCTTAGAATAGGTTTCTTTGTTATTCCTTTTTACTTCATCTCAGTAGAATTGCTGTTTATATCTTAACCATCTATGCTGGTTTCTTCAATTAATCACTCATATTCTTTCTTGAGATGATTTGTAATGGCCCAGCTTTCCTTATCCTAGGATTTGCATACTTAAAAGATTGCTTTCTTCCAAATTTCTAGTCACTTTGCACTGTATCACCAAATGCAAAGAATTCTTTCCAGCCCCTGGCATGTCACCCTGCTCAGCAGGTTCAGATACAGATGACCACTTAACTTTTGAGACAGTGCACATTCCTTTGGCCTCCTCCCTCTCCCTCTGACTTCTCTGATATCCAGTTATCCC